CACGCTAGTACTAAAAGCCTATTTAAAATTTTGAATGACATTATAGCTTATGACTCAGAGGTTCAGAGCCCGTTTGGATAGACTTACAACTTTTTACTATTGAATTATTTTTGTCTTTTTAATTTAAAATAAATATTAAAAAGCTTTTTATTAATTTATTCGAACACTAAAAATTTTTAGAAGTTATTTTGGGCTTAATGCTCGTCGATCATACAATTTCATTTCGTTCTTGAATCGTGATGTAATTGTAAACCAATTATTTTATTTAGGAATAGATCAGGATCTTGTATCAAAGAGATATATATTTCTATTTATTTACCTTTTCAGTGCTTTGATATTTGATGAAATTGTCACTTTTAGCCTCTTGAGAAAATGGTTTTACTGATATGTTGTATGCCCATAATTCAATGGCTATTGGCTAGATGTATTGTTGGCCTATACTATATAAATACAAATAAGTGAAAATGATTAAACAAGTTGAATTAGGACAACTAGCTAGCCATCACAATTTATTAAAAAATTCTTTATACTTTTAATGAAAGAGTAACATATATATAACTAACCTCAATTACCTGAAGTGTTTAGTATTGAGAGTTTGAAGCATAAATCAAATAAACGAGTTGAATTAAATTTAGATAAGTCAAAATAATTCGAGTTAAAAAATAAGTGAATTGATATATATTAATTTTTACTTGCGCTTATATGGCCCGAGTTGAGATAGGCTAAACAATGGTCAATATATATTCAACTGACCAAACTCTTACATAAAATTATTTATTTAATTAATTTTATTATACTTATTTAGTTTTTAAAGTTAATTTTTACTTTTTATTGATACCACAAGAAGGGGAAGGAAACTCCCGATACATACTTATCTAATTACCTAAACAAACTTTTTTCATTAGAGCTCTACATAACTTATAAATGAAGTACTTATTTTAGAAAATATTTTGAAAGGCATCACAAAATATGTTTGCGTTAACATGTTGATAATAATAGAAAAAGAGTCGTTCTTTCATTCAACTTTTGTATTCATCATAACATTATTTATAGATTTACTATACATATAATCTCTATGGCCTATAATAGTCTTATGCAGCAGTAAATTTGTAACTCAATGATAATTTCTCATCACTTTCAGCTGTGGGCGTAACTGTCAAATTGTGGTGAAAGGATGAATCCACCATGGAAGGATGAGTAACAATGGCTTTATAATCTCCATGGAACAGTGAAGTCTCGAAATAACCCTCGGCATTTGTAGTCCCAATCAAACCCTCATGTGATAATGTTGCACGAGCTTTGTCCACAACATCTCCAGTCGGTAGATTTTTGAAATTGTTATCAGTTAAACACATTCTGAAACATCCAGTTGGTTTCCATGCTGACCAAATTATTAACCCTTGAACTGCTGGGTGTCCAACTATCTCCTTTATAACTTGATCTAACACTTGTGCCTTTTGATGTCAAAAGAAAAAATAAATAATTGTTACAACTATTATGGAAAATATATTGTATTCATCGACGTTAATGAATTAATTTACCTGATTTTGCTCTGGTCTAACATCCAACTCAGTGATCCACATGGGCAATTTTGCAGAAGCAAGTGTATCGAGTCCGGCCCTAATATAAGCTATGGTCGGAGCACCAAAATGTCCTTCTAATCCAATTCCAAGAGGACCTGTGTATCCTCCTGTTCTGAGTTGTTTTATCATATTAAGATAATTAGCTGGTGATGATTGTCCGTCACTTGGCACTTCTATTGTATTATATTCGTTTAAAAACAGAGGTGTTTTATTGTCAAATTGCGATGCCAGACGATAGAAGGTAGCAGATGCATTTGCACCAAGTTTACTCTCGAAGAATTTGAAGTGAAGATTTTCGTTCATAACATCCCAATGAAGAAGTTGGCCTTTATATTTCGTAACAATTGATGCAACTCTTTTTCCAGCAGCAACGGAGAGTTGTTGTGGAGACAATGCAGGGACCCAATTTGGCTGAAATTTTTGGTCGTCCCAAAGAACATTTTGGCCTCGGATACTAACACCTTTACTCTTGCATAAATTGACCATTGCATCAGAAGTTGAGTAGTCTACTTTGCCTTGAGAATTTTCAGTACTGTACCATTTCATTTCATCTTCAAATACTGTGTACTTGAATCTCGAGAAGAACCAATTTTGGTAAGCATTGTTATTAAGAATGTTTTTGTTCATTGCAACACCAAATGGGAAATTGGCTCTTCCTTGAAACAAAGAGATTGTCGCATTAGGTAAAGCCTTGCCTTGTGAGTCAACCACTTGGATTGCCACTTTGCTTTTGCGTACCTACATAATATTACAAGAAATGAAATCGAACATATATATTTGTATATATAGAGAGAGGAAACCATAAGAGTAACAAATTTTTTAAAGTTCTATTTTGTACCTTTTCAATGGTTTGAGTTTGATGAGATGTCCACTCTTCTTGGCTAAATGATTGTACTGAAATACTGTCTATCCATATGTCAATTTCAGCATTATTGGTCTGGGAAAAAGAAAAAAAGAAAAGATGGAGGTTAAATAATTAACGATATTCATGTAATCAAGTTTATTATTATGTATGATTAATGATAATTGGTAACTAATTATTTTTTACCTCAAAATAGAGTTGGGCAGGGCCAGAAGCATTTACAACTAAGCCACCCTTAAACATAGACCAACAACCAGATTTAGCAATCCCCCAAGCAGCATGTTGAAAACCACTTTGTGTCTTGAATATGACTGCTACATTGGCATCATCACCATGATTCACTTGTAGCCATCCTAGAGATTAAATATATCTCAATAGTCATTCATCAATGCTTAAGCAAAAAATAATCAGACGAATATATAATATATGTATATATAATTCACGTTATAATTGTTGAAGTTAGTACCAGAAATCACATAGAACTTGTCTTTTTCCAATTGAAACTCTTGTGAGAAACCATGATATGGTCCTTTTCTCTTTGAGGCGACGATGAATTTATTTCCATCATTTGCAACGTTGTGTTCAATTTTAGCATCCCCAAAAAGGGTCCATCCAGTTAATCCATCATTAAATTCTGGATTTACCACTATCCCTCCATTATATTGAGGTTTAAGAGGTCTTTCCAAACACTACAAACATAACCATGACAAATGATAGAGTAATTAATTAGCTAATCAACAAGACAAAATATTAAATAAATTTTTTATTCTTGTAAATGACTTAAAGCCAAAAAAAAAAGAAAAAGATATACCTCGGCCGTATAACTGTAGTCATAATCTCTCGCATAAACTTCTGTCAAACATATAACAATAGAGTCATAAATTAACATGTCTCAATTTTTTTATTATGAAGGAATTTGTTTTGACCAAAAAAATGTATAAAAAATAGAAAATATTTTTCATAAACTATTTTTCTCCCTACCAAACACCCTTTAATGAAAAAAAAAGAGATACAAACCTGTTGAAGCAAGTAGTAAATAATATGACACTAGAACTAGAACTTCTCTTTTCATGATATCCATAGCAAATAATCTGCATTTACAAATAGATAATTGCTATGAGGAGAAAAATAGTGTAATTTAATATCTAAATATAACAATTATATAAATCACAAAAAATGATAGGGAAATTTTGATGTAAACATCAGTTGAGTAAATAAATTCCTTGTACTGCTCCTCTCCTTGGGAACTAAGAATTACTAATAAATTACATTTACCTTGAGATGGTGTTAAAATGCAAGTAATGATATGCATGAAGTGTTCAACATCAGTACTATTTATAGTGTAAAAGTTTACAAGGTTTAAATTGATTAAGAATGAAAATCAATTATATTTCCTTTTTTGGAAATTCTAAATCAAAGATTTTCAATTCTTACTGAGGCATATTTTCGAATTAGTTTATTAGGCTTAAATATAATTGATTGGGAATGAAAATCAATTATATTTCTTTTTTTGGAGATTCAAAGTCAAAGATTTTCAATTCTTATTTTAAAATTAGTTTTTGTATACATGTATGATTTTTACTTTTGACCAATTACTATATATTATCGTGACTCCAACTCTCGAGGAAATGGAGAACCTTAAATATTTTTCTTAATCGAAACAATAAATGGAATGGATTGTTTAAGGCATATCTATATTTAGTTCCACAACCTTGGCCATAATTTTTTTTTTCAATTTTTTTTAAAAAATTTAAATTCCAAATCAGACCTCTTTTTGGTTCACGATACAAGTGTTGGTCTATTTTAAAATTTATCCAAATTTTAGTTACTACAATTGTTGTTATTTATTTGTTTTCATTGATGGATCTTTGTAATTATTGTAATTTATTGAATTGTTGTTATTAAAATCATATTATAATTTAGGATAGTATATTGTCAAGTTCATTATTTGAATAATAACTTTGTGTCGAGCTTATTTGTACATGATTATAATTTGTGATAATAATAATGAACGTTGTCCATAAAGGTTCTGCATAATTTGGGATTATCAAGTATATTTATTTGGTACGATTAAGTATTCTTGATAATTTTTAGAACTTATTGATATAAAATATAAATCATATTTTTTAAAATGTTAAATATGTACTCAAAAACTATGTCCAAAACACATCTTTAACTTCAATTCAAACTTCATCCAATCAATTTTTCTAAAAAAAATAATGTAATAAAAAAATCAAAATCAAAATCTAGGGTCGCTAGCTTCTTTTCAATTTTTTCTAATTCATTCTTCTTTGCCTATCAAGTGTTTCTAGATTCCAATATATGTTTCTTTTCTGATTTGTCCTCGATTAACAATTTGGTTCGATCATACTTCTATTATTATTTAATTGGACCAAAAAATCCTTATTTCAAATAAAATTTAACAAAAATAAACTAGAAACTAATAACAGTATATTTTAGAGCTACACGGATATATAAAGAACATATTTGATCAAATTTAATTCCTAATTATAATTATGCAATACATAATTAGGAGTAATTAATCAGAATTAGTGTCAAACAAAAATTGTGTAATGTGAATTTTCCCTTGTTCCATCCTTTTGTGCTGCCACCTTAACTTTCTGAGCCATGGAGGCATATGTTTGTTTTTCATGATGCTTGATTTCAACTTGATATTCTCCATGAAAAAGTGAAGTTTCAAAAATGCCATTTTCATTAGTAGTACCAGAAAAACCTTGATGACTCCATTCTTTAATAATCTTGTCAACAATATCTCCAGTAGGCAAATTCTTGAAATTATTATCAGTCAAACACATTCTGTAACATCCTTTAGGACCCCATGGTGCCCATATCATTATTCCTTTCACTCCTGGATGTGCATGAACCTCCCTTATGATCTCTTCCAAATATACCTCCTGTCCAATTTGAAAGTTCGTCAGGTTAATTTCACGTATAGTGACTGAATTATTATTATTATTATGTTGAAATAACTTAAATTAGATATATGTATATATAATCTATGTATATCGGCTTGAAAAAGTAAATAGTGAATTTAATCTGCTATTTATGTAAAAGACTTGAAGATTACCTGATTGGTGGTGTTTGCAACATCTAACTCAGTGATCCAAATTGGCAATCCAGCTGAAGCAAGCATATCAAGAGAAGATCTTATATAAGGTAAATTTGGTTTGACAAAATGCCCCTGCACCCCAATTCCCAACGGCCCATTATAACCGTGGGATCGAAGATCTCGAATTTTTTCCAAGTACTTTGCTGGATTTGAAGTTCCATCAAATTCATGTTCAATTGTATTGAAATCATTCAAGAATGGAATTGCCTTGCTATCGATTTCATTAGCCTTCTTGTAATAAATAGCAGACGCATTTTTTCCGAGTATATTCTCTAAAAACGAAAAGTGGACGTTTTCGTTCACAACATCCCAGTGAATAAGTTGGCCTAAGTATTGATTCATCACCGAATTTATCCTTTTGGATGCAGCTGAGGAGAGTTGTGCTGGTGAAAGAGAACGCGTCCACGAGGGCATGCTCATGGGGTTGTTCCAGAAAATGTTGTGGCCGCGGACTTGAATGTTATGTTTTTGGACAAAACTGAGCATGGCATCCGCCATGTTGTAGTCCTGTTTGCCCTGGATTTTCTCGTTGGCATACCATTTCATTTCATTCTCGAAAACCGTGTACTTGAATCGTGATGTAAACCAATCTTGATAGGCTTTGTTGTTGAGGATATGTTGGCTTATTGCATTGCCAAATGGGAAATTGTTCCTTTGTTGTGCCAGGGAGACCGTTGCGTTTGGTAATGGTTGGCCTTGAGAATCCACTGCTTGGATTTTCACTTTAGCTTTACGTACCTGCAACATATTATTAGCTATTTTTTTTATTACATATACATTGGACAAAAGTTATTGAGTTCACGTGAATTCATTAGTTCTAAGCTAGGTCCACCCCAGAGTAAATGTGTTGATTGAGCATTTAATTTCAATTCAACACGGTCTCGTACCTCCCCAGACCCCACCTAGTGGGATTTCACTGGGTGCTAGCTAGCACGGCACGGTCTCGTACATGTAAAATTTTACTCAAGTCATTTACCTTCTCTATACTTTGATGTTGATGAAATTTCCATTCCTCTTGGGAAAATGGTTTTACTGATATACTATCTGCCCATAATTCAATAGCGGTATTGTTCGCCTAGAAATAGATACAAGTGAAAATAATTAAACAAAAGTTGAATTAGTATAACTAGGAAATATGTATCATACATAACTTGTTCAACAATTTATACAAGTTTGGGGGCATAGGATGTTAACTGAGGTAAGTTAAAGAGTACATTTATGTATTATGTCTATATTTTAATATAAAAGGTAAAACAACTTACCTCAAGATATAAGTCCACATGAGCTGAAGTAGTTAGTATTAAGCCACCTTTTAGCATAGACCAGCAGCCAGAACGAGCAATAGCCCATCCAGTACGTTGAATTCCAAATGGTCCTCTGAATGCTAGAGCCAGATGAGCATCTATAATTCCATCTCCATGGCTCACTTGCACCCAAGCTGCAAATTATACGAGTGTAAATTGGGCGAGTTAAAATTAATTGAGTAAGTAAAAAATTAAATCGTAGTACCTGAAGTGACGTAGTAAGTATCTTTTTTCAAGAAATATTTTTGGGTAAGACCATGAAGGGGTTCTTTTCTGTTAGTAGCCACAATGAAAGTGTTATTTGTATTGTTGGACATCCTAGTGGCCATATTTGCAAATCCAGATTTTCTCCAGCCATTGAGTCCCTCATTGAAGTTTGGATTCACAACTATTCCTCCATTGTATTGAGCACTAAGGGGATCTGCCAAACACTGGAAGCATATGCATGGTAATTTTGTATTAATATTTATAAAACATATTAATCGAGCGAGTTACCTATTACAACAAGTTTTATTTTTGTTGGCGTCAATATTATTACAAGTAGTAAAATTACAGTAACATAGTATAGTCTTATATATACTATTTTATGTAATTTGTAATCGTATATAGAAATTCTGGAATTCAAATCTTCCAGGTTCATAATTAAAATATTAGTAGTATATAAAGATTGCATATGTTGGGGAAGCGTTTTACCTCATATGTGAAACTATAACTGTAGTCTTCACCATAAACTTCAACCCCTAAAAAAAAAGAAAGAAAGTGAAAGTTGATATTCATATCAAAAGTTTTAAATTAATGTTTAATTATCAACAAGGCTAGGCTTAATAATAGACCTGAATAACAAACAAGAAAAAATATCATCAGCCAAGGTAGAAAATATTCCATCTTCACAGTTTCCATGGCTACAAATTCACCGTTTCGATCACAACAATGCTAATGTATACATGCGATTTTTTTTTTAAAAAATTGTAGGGATTATTATTGCGAGTTGTTGGACTAAGCTATGATCAATGCATGCATATTTATAGGGAAAACCTGCAAAGTTTGGTACGTGTTAAATTAATAGGTAAAAATTATTTAATACAGCTAGCTAATTGTATCATTAGTACGTAAAGATTCCAAGTCAATATATTATGTTTGACACGAATTAAAGAATTTCAAGACGACGTTCGATTCTTCTATATATCAAATTCAAATATTAGAGTAATTGACTGTTAATGATTCTTAATTAATTGCTTGTGCAAATTAAGGAAATAAACAAAACTTGTTCATTGTTTGGGCCACTTGCATGCAAATGCGGTCTATCTTGGACATATAATTAAATTTAATTATATGTGAAAACACGGTTAACCTTCAACTTGAATTTGATAGTAAATGTCATTGTCTAGCTTTTACTATTTTAAAGCTTTAAGATACTAATAACATACTCCCTCCATTTCAAATTAATTGAATTGTTTAGGTGTTTCACACCCTTTAAGAAAAGAAGATTAAAACATAAATTAGACATAACTTTCCATTTTTACTCTTATTAATCATTGTCAAATCCAATACTAACTAATGAAGGGTAAAATTGAAAGAACATTCTAAAAATAGTCTTGAAAATTGAACAATTAAGTTAATTTGAAAAATGAAAAATGTCTGAGCAATTCAATTAATATGAAATGGAAGGAGTAATAATGGAGTAATTTGGAAGTTATTCTATGGTAAGAGGTAGCATGTGTTTGGTAAAACATATATTTAAGGTGCGGCCAAGTTGATTTGACTATCATAAAAATAACAATAATATCAGGTTTTAATGCATAGTTTAAGTGCTGTTTTTAATTTTCTAAACAGTTTAATACATTTTTTCCCTCGTTAATGATTATTTTATAAAGAATTTCTGAACTTGAGTTATATACACTCTATATATATATATTATTAGATTATCTTTACCTATTATAACATAAACATATCTTTATTTTTAAGATTACAAATTAAATCTCGTATTTTACTATTTTAATGAGAGTATTTGAGTGACGACAGTTTGAAAGTTCCTTTCAGTCCACTTTTAGTAAGTTGCCGGGAAATTCTGCCTTTACTTATATTCATGTGGATTTTGACAAATGAACAAAAAAAAAAAAAATACGACTTTGGGTTAATTTGTCCTTTCCTTTTTTCTTTTGAACAATTCTCTTTCCCTTATATACAAGTAGGGGTATACAAAATCGAACCAAAAATTAAATCAAACTGTAAATCGAGTCAACCCGAAAATAACCCGACTAGTGGTTTGGTTTGACTTGGTTTGGTATTGGGGAAAAAACCCAACTATATTTGGGTTGGTTTGATTTTAACTAAAAAACCAACCCGACATTATATATGTAATTTTAAAATTTTATTTTATACATAAAAATATTTACTTTGATATAATTTTAAAATATTTCTTATGCTATTTCATAGTTTTTATCTTTTAATATATTATTTCAAGTTTAAAACTTAGAATTCGGAATAGTCCAATAAAGATTATTGTTCATAGATGTTGATAATTATAATAAAACTTAAATCAAAATCAAATTAATACTAATGCAAAAAGAAAATCAATTCAACACTAAGAATGACAATAATATTGAATATTTGTTATTTAGTTTTACATTGGTTTAGACAATTAAAATACATAATCTAATTTTAATTTTCCTTAAATATTTAGTAATGTAATTAATACTTATTAAACTTATTTTAGCATGATTTCGTACTTTTAAATTATGATCATTTTTATAATGACTTTGCAATATTTATTTTGTATGATGATTTCATTTATTATTTTTTATTTGAATATTTTTGTTGTCATCAGTACTAATCTCATATTTTGTGTTATTTTTTTAAGAAACACCTTAGATAATTGTATTTTGGTAGGACTAAAGTAATATTTGGAGCACAAGTTAATTATATGTTTGTATGCAAACTTTACCGAAAAAATCCAAAAATACTGAAAAAATCCGAGGTTTATTAGTTTGGTTTGATTTATAAATTTAAAAATTTGACACAATGGTTTAGTTTGGTATTTGAAAAACCCAAAAAAATCTGAATTTTATTAATTTGGTTTGGTTTATAAATTTAAAAAATTTACAAAAATAATTTGATTTAATATTTGAAAAACCCGAACCAACCCGATCATGTACACCCCTATATACAAGCACACTTGTTTCATTTGATTGACCACAATAACGAGTAGCGGTTACTTTTTGCATGGTATATAATGTGTAGTTTTAACTCGTAACACAAATTAAATGGATGGCCTGGAGTATGACTTGTTTTTCAACTCAACTTTGTCTCATACATCTTTACTATCAAACATTGAGGATTTATTGATCACTTATTTATTAAATTATTCAATTTTTCATGAGTGTGTGCAGTTTATTTTTATACTGATTTTAATACGCCATAATTAATAATCACTAAATTATTTAGTTGTATTTGGAAAATGTTTATTCATCGTATTCAAAGTGGAATACATATTGTCTTTTATAAATTATTTTGAGGGATAAGATTGTTTGTTTAAAGCAATGAATCATTAAGCATAGTTTTGGACCTTTGTTACCGGGAAATAAGTACGGGGGAGAATTCCGTGAAACTCAAAAACTGTGCAAAGTATGATTTCAAAAACTAAAGAGGTGGCGCGTAAAGTATTTATCAAATTGGGACAAAATCAAAAGCCGCGGTCTTTCCCCTTTTAGGTGAAAACTTCATCTTCTTGTGGAAGCAACTCAATCAATGGCGAAGAGCGAAACTTCAGTAGGGAGCGAAGATCCTTCTTCTTCTCGCCCATGGGAATCTTATCACACAGTCTTTACCAATGCCAAAGCAGGTAATTTTTACTTTTTAGTTTTTTTTTTTTTTGAAAATTTAGGTATTTCCAATTGTTTTTATTACAATTAATTGCTTCAATCATCTGTTTTAAGTGTAAATCATCAGTTTATTATGAAATTGTTCCCAATATATTGAATGTATAATGAGTTGATTAATTGACCTAACTTGTTTAAATTGGTTTTCGATCAATTTTTCTCAAAGTTTAAATTGTTGTTCTATATGAGGTTTTAGTGATTGATGATCGAAATTTTAGGAATGGAAGGGGTGGACAAGGAAAAAGTACAGAGGATAGTGTATGAAATGAGTAAAGGGTCCAAGTATTTTGAGAATGAGGAAAAGAAGGAAGCTTATACGAAGCAGAAAATTGAGAACATGCGTATTCAGTACTCCAAACTCACTGCACAAGATATATCTCATCATCAGAAGGTACTTTTTTTTAATGACAATTAGGAAAATGGTTATGTTTCAAATGTGTCATGTCAGTAACCTAATTGCCTATTTCTCTCTATCCAAGTTCTCTGCATACATGAGTTGATGTGTTTGCGGATTTCCGAGTGTTTTTGATTGAGTATTTATGATAATAAAATGTTGTGCTCATTTGTGATGCGTGTAAGGATTTTTTTTTAAGTCTAGGATCAGTTGGCTGCTGCTATATGAGGATATACTAGGTGTGCAATTATGAGTTCCAACTGTCAGAAGAATAAATTCAATTAGTTTTCTGGTCAGTTGGGATCTGAGATGGACTGGGATGGGAATAGAGGTGGATCCAGGATTTAAATTGTTATGGGTTCAACTTTTAAGATTTTTACTATTGAATTCTTTGTATTGTTAAAATTATGGGTTCAAATCTAATATAAACCCGTAGCTGTAAGCTATATCTGCCTATGGTTCTCTGTTGGGATGCAGGGTGGCTTTAACTGCATAACCAAACTTTTGATCAACTTTTATATATCAAGTTAGCTTCTTCCTTTTCTTTTCCAGATTGCTGACAAAAGGATTTTAGAGCTAGAAGCCACACGTGATTTGTCAAGGATCTGGCTACATGTGGATATGGATGCTTTTTATGCAGCTGTTGAAACCTTGTGTAATCCTTCATTGAAAGGCAGGCCAATGGCTGTTGGCAGCATGTCCATGCTTTCCACAGCGAACTATGAGGTTTGACTTTCCGATTAATCAGAGATGCTTTCTGCACAAATGTTGCTGGTGGATATTCATGTTTAGCTCATTTATAATTTAGCTTTCAGATTCCTATTTCTGTAAAGTTTGTTGTTTCTTTGTATTTTCCTTTTCCCTTTTTCTGAATAACATGTACTTATGCTTTATAGGCCCGGAAATTTGGTGTTCGAGCTGCAATGCCTGGATTCATTGCACGTAAACTATGTCCGGAGTTGTTATTTGTCCCTGTAGACTTTCAGAAATATAATCATTACAGCAACTTAACAAGAAAAGGTTTCATACTGTACTTCTATGGACTTGGTAGTTTTTGATTGATATGTGCCTAATTATTTGGATTGTTAATCCATCTTCTCATAGTTTTTCAGAAATATGATCCGAACTTTTTGGCTGCCAGCTTGGATGAGGCATACCTAGATATTACTAGTGTTTGCAAAGAGAGGGGCATTACGAGTGGAGAAGTAAGTCTACATTAGATTCTTTTCCATCAGAATTTCCTCCCAATCTTATCTATCCTTTTTTTTTCTTTCCTTTGACTTTGTTTGTGTCTTGTAATCCTCCATTTTTTGGTTGTTCCACTCCTTTAAGGTAGCTGAAGAGCTTAGAGAAAGTGTACACCTTGAGACAGGTCTAACGTGTAGTGCGGGAGTTGCACCAAACCGCTTACTTGCTAAGGTATTGAAAATGAAAATAATTTATTTTAGTTCTTTGTCCTCTTATGAAATGAATATGCGCTTTCTACATAGAATTTTTTTGAGGCGTCTACAGGATGCATTAGTTTCTGCATTGAAGCTAGGAGGATTATCCAAACTCATTTCTAGGTATGCCTCACCAAACTAGGGAAAGATTGCATCATAATTTTGGAAATTCATGATAGAAGATGGATTGGAAACCCAACTAAATAGGCACATTCAGCTATTCACACTTTTTTGTATCAAAATGAAGATGTGGATTTTCGAATAATAGCTTCTTTATTCCGTCTCACAGGTTTGTTCAGATATCAACAAACCCAATGGCCAGTTTGTTTTGCCAAATGATCGAAGTGCTGTTGTGACATTTATTTCTTCACTTCCAATAAGGAAGGTACGGAGAGTAGCTGTTATGTTTAGGCTCTCTGGTTTGTGAAGTATCTTCATTCAAATTGGGCAGTTCACTTTTGCTTTTACATTTTAGGATGTAGGTCTATAATCTGACATTCAGGAAACTGTGTACAGATTGGGGGCATTGGTAAGGTCACTGAACGTATCTTAAAGGATGTCTTTGGAATAGCAACCTGTGAGGAGATGCTGCAAAAGAGTAGTTTCCTTTGTGGCCTGTTTTCTCATTCTTCAGCAGGTTTGTTTATGATATAATCGATCTCTTTTATTTCCCCTTAATCTGACAAGAACACACCCTAGAAAGTTCAAGCTCGATTTGAGCTTGTATAATATGATGTTCTGTTGTGTTTGAGAGGTTTTCTTCAAATTTGATCAACTGATGTGATCACTGCTTGTGTCCTGAATTTTCCCATTGATGGATTCTTCTGTATATTGACAACATATCAGTTGCCTTTTTGTTGCAGACTTTTTCCTTTCCGTAGGTCTAGGGCTTGGTGGAACCAATACTCCTCAATATAGGATGAGAAAGAGTATAAGTAATGAAAGAACATTTTCAGCCACTGAAGATGAAGCTTTGCTTTTTCAAAAATTAGGTAAGGTTTTAGTTACTGCCAGGGTTTCTGATTGCATGACCAATGCATATGTCCTCCCTTCCCCCCCTTAGATTTTGAGTATGGAGAAATTTTCCTTCTGCTGGAAGCCCAGAAATAATTTACTCTGAAACCAAGTTAATTTTGTCAACTTTGGCTCTGCAGTTGATCTAGCAGAGATGCTTTCTGCTGATATGAAAAAGGAAGGTCTTTTTGGGCGAACAGTGACACTAAAACTGAAAACCGCATCCTTTGAGGTACTTCCAACATTTTGCTTTAGTGACTTTTACTACATAGATTTAGGTTATTTCTATATAAAATTAGCTGATATAGTCAAGGTCTCCAGGTTCGATCTCGAGCGGTGACTTTGCCAAGTTACATAAGTTCAAGTGAGGAAATCTTGAAACATGCTTCAAAGCTGCTTAAGGCCGAATTTCCTGTTTCTTTGAGGCTCATGGGTGGGTACTTTAACATTGTTCAGTTCCTTTTAGAAAATATGGTTGTCTTGTGTGGTTTCCCTTCTCTATATTGCTCAATGCTATAAATAAGCTGTTATTGTTTTTTTTGTGTGGGAATATTATGATGATTGTGTTCGTGGAGAAAAGCATAAAAAATGTGCCTCAAAATATTTAAATTCACATGTGGCTGAAATCATCCAAAAATTTGGCGAAGTATCTGTAATGATTTGTATACCACAATACACTTCAAATTTTTTTAATTTTTCTTTTGAAAAAAGATTATAAGCTGTTGATCAAATATTGGTCTGCTTTTAATCTTAGGGGAGTCATCTTCTTTCCTTCTGCTTAATTACTGCAGATGGCGAGTGAAAGGGGGGACTTGGAATTTGAAGTGTTAATATTTTTATTTGGTTTGAAAAATTCATGATATCAATTGAAATTTGGTAGCATTGTGTAGCTTGAAGTTTGTAAAATTTATTTTCTCCTAATCTTTCTGAGGCTGCTATTGGATTGAAGGAGAGGTTACTGCTACTAATGAATAAAACATTCGAAAGCCTATAATTTCTCTGAAGAAGGTTAACATTATCAGGCAGCACAAAAGAAGCAAATATAGAGAACAATTCATAGATTTTATTAGTTCCTTAGGCTATTTGGATTTGCTGTTTTATAGGTCTTATTTTGATTTATATGAGGGGACTGATTTTGCCCTCTTTTACAACAGTGGAGGGGTTTTAAATTTCTATCATTTTGCTTCTATCAGTTTTTGATGCTGTCCCACTCACTTGCCACCATGTTTCTGTAGCTTTTAATTTCATTCATTGGTTAATTATGGATTTATGAATGTGCTTTGGCGGCATCAAAAGGCCCAAAACAGAATTCCACACCATTAATATTATTGTCTTCCCTGAGCTGGAAATGACATGTTCAGCTGTTGCCATTACCTATTTTGATGTTGTGTTATTTGACTGCAAATTTCCAGCATGAGGCATTTTGACTCAGCAGTTGAATTTTCTATCAGGACTTCGAATGTCTCATTTCAGTGAAGACAAGAATGGGATTCCACCTGATCCTACACAAAAAACTCTTTCTAATTTCATTCTTTCTGGAGATGCTTCTGGAGTAAAGACAAGCGATTACAGGCCCTTGGTCTCTGATGTTTGTGATAATACTTTCTCAGTTGATGAGAATTGTTGTCCTACCTACTGCGCTGAGACATCTTGTGATCTGCGTGACTCTTCAATGGAAAACACGGCATCAGATTCTACTTACAGTTGCCATGTAATAGGGAACATTAATGAAGAATTGAATGAAACTGTTGTACCTCAAAGTAGTGAACCTCAACCTAAGGTATATGTTTTTCTCACTAAAAAGCTAAAGTGCAACTATATGACCAAAGAAAGTTTAATGATTCAAATACTGAGCTTTCTAATTGTCAACATGTCATTGTATTCAGGTTCATGAACCAACCGATACTGATCATACAATAAAGTCTGATAAGGTCGATTCTTATATGGGACAATTGGAGGCAAGCAGCTGTGATAGATGGGAAATTGGTGTTAACTGCACGAATGATGAAGCAGGGTCTGTATCAGATCAGAAGCAATTATTTCTTTGGGTGGACGACTACAAATGCCCTATTTGTGGTATTGAAATGCCTCCAAGTTTCATTGAAGAAAGGCAAGAACATTCTGATTTTCATCTTGCTGAAAAGCTGCAAGGTGAAGAATCAGGTAACCACCGCAGAAGTTTTCTGCCACAACAGAGGTACCTTCTACTTCATGGTGTTGATGATACATGGATATATTTCCTCATCTAGTTAAATGCCATTGTACCAAGTAGTTCTTTTCCTCTCTTTTTTTCCCTTTGGCTTCTCAATATTGGTGGTGTCATCTTATATTTTCTAATTTTTTGTTAGGGCTCCCCAGAGAGGCCATACTGGAAGCAGCAGTCGGCAGAAAAAGAAACAGAAATCATCTCCAACTGCTAGCAAATATGTACCAATTGACGCATTCTTTGTTAAAACAAACCAGAATTTTTGAAAGGCATAACATAGTGAAAATCTATTTATTCAGAAGATAATACAGTAATATTTTTTTCTTTATCCAGTGTGGGGAGGGTGCGGTCTATTTCTTTATCCATGTATTCTTTGTATATAACTGTGTAATTGTATATTGTAAAACGCTGCAACAAGTGTAATGGTTAACTTCCAACTTTGTTTTGATGGTTGTTACTAGTGTATCGTTACTTTAAATACAATGTTTTGATTGTTAATTTTTATCGTATCATATTGTTATGTGAAATTATTCCGGGAAAAAACTAAATAATTATCATGTCCAAATGACCTTTTATCATTTGTAACTACCTTTTTGTGTAATAACTCTACCTTGTTGTAAAATTGTACTATATTCTTTAGATTGCTGGTGCTCATAATTATGAAATGACGAAAAATAATACTATAATCTATATAATATTGTATCATTGTATGTATTAGAACAAGATGTTCAGCTTCGGAAGGTGTTCATTGTTTTTTATTAAATGAACGATTAATTGGGATATATATTTTTTTTTATGATGCATATATGATTGGTAAAAGTTCATTTATAGTTTATCGTATTATGATTATTTGGAAGACATGAGTCCACATGCTAGATATATGAATGAACAATTATGTGCTCGATAAACTGCAAGATAGCAGTGTTCAAAGTTGAAATAAAGAGAGTAAATAAAATGTCTACTTTGTGAGGCATTCCACAATTTCATATCCTCAAGTTTTCAAAAGAATGAGTTCATATCCTTGCACAAAATGCCCAATTTCAATCAGAAACTCCACAACTCAATTCCCTCATCCAAGAACACCAACATTTACAAAACACAAAATTTCTTATCCTAAATCCGTCATTTCCCAAAATTCACTCTCCAGTAGTTCATCTCTCAGTCACCAAAAATCAAGAACAAACTGTGTAAATTCTGAAGATAACTTTCCGACCATGTCAGAAATCATGGAGGCATCGAGATCCCAAAATCTTGATCTTCAGCTGAAAACATTAGGACCCTTTTTCAGAATCACAGCGAAGAGCTTAAAAACCCAAAGAGACCTTGGAAAAGCTGAGGGTTTGATAAGGGTTTGGTTTCAAGGTAAAATTCTACATTTAGACTCAATCAGACTTCAGAGAGAAACTTTGGGGATGGAAAAATCAATATTTGGGATTGGATTGTTTATTGGAGCAGTCGCAATTAGGCATGGTTATGACTCTGGTTGTAAAAAAGCTGAATTGCTCGCCATTTATGATACTGAGCTTTACCACACCAAGGTTACTCATCAATTTCTCCTTCTGGGTTAATTATCATGCAATTGTTTACCCTGTATTCGGATTGGAAAATTACCAATTTTCTTTTTTATCTACTCCGGCTTCGGTAACCTCCTTAACCTTATCCATTCCGTCAACCTTCTTCAACAAGAGGAAGATGGGAGTTAATTCCCCTTTTTCACTTAGCTACCAAAGCCTTTTGTCTGGACACCGTTCAAATATGTAACGTGCCTGTAACTCACACATCATGTATTGCGCGCTTATCACCCGATGATAGACTTTTTTCATTCACACCTACTGATGTTTACTTTCTAATTCAAGTAGAATAGTGGATAAAAAAAAAAAAAGTAGAATAGTGGATTCTGGTTTTAATTTGTACTTCTCTTTGATTGTAGCAGCTTGTGAAATTCTACACAAGGATTGGCTTCAAGACAGTTCACCAAGTTAGTGGTGAATCACTTGGAGATGTTGGTCACATGTTAGTCTGGGGAGGCGTAGGCACTCGAATGGATGCAGACATTGAAGATCTTCTTGTAAAATGGTGCACCAGATTTAAACCAAAGAGTTGATTTTACTTAAATCATTCAACGAGCTCAACTTTTTTTTTTTTTTGCTTAGAACGGAAGGATTTTATTTAATATTAAGGAACATCCATACATAAAGGAACTGATCTAAGTGAGCCAGTTCCATTAGCATCTCTTCAAGTTCATATGTAATATAAGAGGGAGATGCATCAAAAATATATAGTTTGTTTCCAATCATAATTTGGTCCCTAGATTTCCTTCCGTATTCTGCTAGTGCATCTGCAGTCCTATTAGCCTCCCGTGGAACATGTTTTAGTGGCGGTGCTCCCAGTTGCTGGAGCAAAGACATGCAATCAGCGCAAATGTGTGAGTATTGTGGGCTATCATTATTTAGAGAGTTCAGCAATACCTGTGAGTCCGTTTCCACCATAATGTGCTTAAATTTTTTCTCTTTTGCAAGAGTCAGACCATGTAACAGGGCTAACAATTCAGCATGATAAGCATTTTCCACTTTGATCTTACAAGCAAAACCCGCTATCCAATCTCCTAAGTGGTTTCTTATTATTCCTCCAGTGCCGCCATTAGTTGTTTTAGGTTCAAAGGATCCATCCACATTTAGTTTAAACTGGCCATCAGGAGGTCTTTGCCAAGAAACAGGAATCATTTGTCTTGGGGGGGTATGCGTGTGAGAGGTCGACATATGAAAATATTCTAGTGCTTCGAACGAAATTGTTTGAGTAATCCTTGTTGTGTCATTTGGTTTGTGACCTTTGAAGGTGTTGTTGTTTCTTCTTTTCCAAATATTCCAAAGACTAATTGGAGTTAGCGTGGATGTAGGCACACTGGCATTGTAACAAGTGGGAGAATCAGACGAAGTAGCTGAAAGATGTTACATTGGAGGTCGTTATTATCTAAGGTAATGTCGTGACTCCTCCAGATGCTAATAGCTACTGGGCAATTTGCAAAGATGTGGCTAGTAGTTTCTTCTATATTTGGACAAGTGGTGCAATTTTTTTGACTAGAGATGCCCCTATTGTAGAGAGTAGAAAGTGTAGGAAGCTTATTTCGGAGAAGTAACCACATAAAGAACTTTATTTTATTAAGAGTCTTAAGTTTCCAAATCCAAAGGGATGTGTTTGTAGGATTCATTTTTTGTAGCTAGAATCATATTGTAAGCACTACTCGTGGTAAATTTTCCGTTGCTATTCTGATTCCAATAAATAACACCCTTTTTTGGTGAGGAGATTTGAGTATAAGTATTGTTAATAGCAGAAGTAATTTGGGGTGTCAACTCCGAAGGAGATATGAGAGAAGTCCCATTTATCATGTTTGCGACAACAAGGTCTAGTAACTCAGTTGGTTGGGTTGGCTACGTACATTAATATACTTTAGATTGACATGTCATGCAACAAGATAAACTATTAGTATATGTTTAATATCATATAGGTTGATTTTTTTTTCCTTCCCACTATCCTTAGTTAATGAACCAAAGTGGTGTTTGAATTTGATTTTGGAAATAGTTTTTGAAATAATTGATTTCGAGTTTGGTTTTCAAAGAACATCTTGGTCAACAAGTACTTAAGTTCATCTACCATCATTTTATTTAAGAATTTATATAAATAATAAGTATCTACTAACAATATAAAGAATTATCTCACTTCAATATGTTCTAAGTATGTTGTATCAAGTTGCTTGTCTGATTTTGTATCTTACTAATCTCATTTAGTATAACACAATTAATTATAATTATCTTGACGTGATAGTATTAAAAAAAATAAGCCATCTAGCATACCTTAAAATAGTGAAATTTATTTTCAGTAACCTCTTGTAAGTTGTAAGACGGTATAGTTTTTGGCCTTGTTAACAAACTTTAATAATTTTAGACGCACGCTAGAAAATTTCTCCCCCTTATCCTTCTTTTAATAAATTAAAATTATGGGCACACAATTACAATTAAAAAGCAATGAAATATGTAATGTAGAAAATTAAAGATTCATTGCCTATCACCATTATTGTGTTTGTTTAGCTTTAAAAGATCTTATTGAAAAAGACAAAATGAGTGTTGATGTTTGAAGGTTTATGTTAAATCTAACTATTGTAAATTGTTCGGATAGTATTAGAAGATCACGTATTAAATTTGGAGTTATTTGTTGGACTAATTTTGAAGCAAAAATCTGGCGATTAGTCAAGATTTATCTGGAAATTTTGGCGATTCTTGATGCTAAAAAAAGTTTTGTCCATTAATTTTTAATTTCGACGAATCGTTAAAATTTTACGTGACTCATGTTGGCCATAAATTTACTTTTGCAAATATTTTCTTAAAGAGGTTAAAAAGAAAAATTGTGTGAAATAATAAATTATTAATTCAAATTAAATGTTATAGCCATAGTTTCTTTTATTTGTAATTCACAGCAAACATTCCATGTTTTTTGCCATCTCATTTGTATACTGAAATATACAAATGCAGGACCCATTTGTATACCAGAATATACAAATGCAAGACCCATTTGTATACTGAAATATACAAATGCAGGACCTATTTGTATACCAAAATATACAAATAAATCAAAATATACGGATTAATAGCCATAGCAAACATAAAGTTTGCTATGAAGCGCAATTATACAAACTATAGCTATAGCATACAAATATGATTTTTATGTTTGTCTAAACCTAAAATTTAACTCTAAAAATAAAAGAAGCAACTTTCACATATAGCAAACATAAAAATACATATTTGTATGCTATATCTATAGTTTGCATAATTGCGCTCCATAGCAAACATAAATATGTATTTTTCGCTATACATATATAAAAGAAAGCAGTTATATATAATTTGTTTCTGTTTCGGTATACATATACAAAAGATCAATTGTATAATCTGTGTTTGTATAAAGCGAGAAAGAGAGAAAGACAAAAGAGAATTGGGCAGAGGTATATTTGTATTGTATAATTATAAGGGTATAGGACGAAGATATATGTATTTGCATGTGTATATACAAACAAAAACACAATTTATACATTTCTGTTTGTATATGCGAGAGAGGCAAGGGAGGGACTGGCGAGCGAGATTTGGGAGAGGGGAGAGGGGGAACAAAAATATATGTATAAATCCAATTTTCTCTCACTTTATACAAAGACAAAAGCATTTTATACATTTGCATTTGTATAAAAAGCGAGAGAGGCGAGGGAGAGAACGAGAGTGGCGAGCGAGATTCACCAGGAGAGAGGCAAAATAGCAACAGTTTGTTATGGAGTACAATTAAATCAAAATATGTTTATAGCATTTAATTTGAATTAATATTTTGCTATTATATACAATTTTCCCAAAAATAAATGGTGACGTTGAAAGAGCCAATTTTGCGCAAGTCTTAAGGCCCATTAATATTGGGCCCTCACTGTATCCTCGACCCGAATATCTGGTTTTACATAAACTCCCAGTGTAGGCTGTCATCACCATTTATGAGTCCCAGCTTTATCCAAGTTATCGTTTCTGTTCAAGATTTACCCTAATGTCGTCTCGTCGAGAGGGTCGCGATTCCGACTCGAAACGTCACCGTTCTCGGTTCGATCAAGAACCCAGGTAATCGATTTCTCTCTACATTATATGTATTTTCTTGGAAAAATTGGTAACTTTCTCTACTTGCAAATAGAGATGAATTTTAATATCTTTCGAATGATTTAGGGTTAGAATAAAATTAATTATAAGAAGAGCTGAGGTAAAAGAAACAGTTGGCGGGACTTTGTAATCTTGAAGTTTTAGGATTTCCTGGGTCTATGAAGTTTTCTCCTTTTCTTTTGTTTATCAGCGTTAAAATGAAAATTAGTTACGTGAAAGGGGGGTTTCTGTTGGACTTGAGTTATACTAGTAGTCTGAGAGGAGGAAAAATATTGGGGTGAGAAAAAAGAACCCTTTGGTCTTCAAGATTTTAATCTTTTTTGACATAAATGAATGGGTTCTTTTATGAAAAATACTGGAGTAAGAGAAGAAACCATTTTTGGTTTTGAGAGTTAAAGATTTGTGTCTTCAACTGCTTTACAACTGGAAACAGTAAATTGTGTCTTGAGAAATTGGAATTCTGTTTATTGCACACCTTGAGCTTCATTTGGAATAACTCAATTTGTAAATGATGTGGATGTGCTAATATTATGTATCATGTTTGTTCTTTCTAGTCCAAAGAGATCAAGGAAACACAGTAGACAAGAAACTGAGAGGCCACCTACCACACACAATTTAGATAGTGGAAACAATTCAGAACGGGATTTAAAACACCATCGCCGTCTGCAAGATGCTGTGCCTCTTGATGCTCCGTCAGTGCAAGATTCGAAGTCAGAAAGAACTCCAAGGAAACCATCTGAGAACGTAGCAGCTAAAGATGATGGGATCAAAGATTCTTCTGATCCCAATGAAGGATCTCGCCATCGATCATCCAAACACTCTACAAATCCATCAGTAGTACCTCGTTCTACCTCATTTTTTCAGGTTTCTGTGTTGTGTATACTAACTTCATTTGCTTCTTGTGTCAGTTTGTGTTAGATTATGCTTTTGGCTACTGGTGTGGTAGAATTTGGATGACCTGTCTCTTTGGAGGAGTTTGTTTCTACTTTATTGAAGCATGCGAATATACTTGATGATAGTTCCTTTATTCATTCATGTGCACAATTAGGATAACATTACTGTTAATTGGTGGAGAGGGATGGGAATGGAATTCAACTTAGCAAGAGAACAAATGAAACCAAAATTTTCTTTTGAACTTCATTTCTATTAAATTTGTAGTTTGAGCAGCTATTTTCAATTTGAATTGACTGTCTAGATAATTTGGTTTGCTACACTTGAACATCTAAAGAATAATGTTGCTTCATTCCTTTCCTCCCTGTACTTCCTTATTACTGGGCTTCGTTGTACTTATTTTTAAAAAAGAATAATGTTGCTTGATATTTGAATAAATTTTAGGTTCTAATTGTCAGAAAATGAATAAATAAATTTTGAATTTCAGTAGACGAGAATAGATTTTCCACGGACAAGTGCATTGATTTAAGTTAATCTGCTTTTCTTTCTTATATTGTGGCTGATGTTGTGGGATTCTTGTTCAGCCCGTTGACTTCCAAGTAGATCCATGTATATAACCATGTTAGACTTGCCTGTGCATATCTTATAACAGCACGATGAGCGTGGTAGTGCTGGGCAAGTTGATCGAAGCTTCAGGCATAAGGCAGCAACTGGTGAGTTTCCACATATTACTCTTGCATTTTGATGAGTAACCTTCCATTTTTCTTTCCTGAGGAGCAAAAGCAAGGATCAGACCATTGTATGACCTCTAACTTGACTTGACCTGTGATCGGAATCTTTCTGTCTGTAATGAGAGAGCCCTCCTTTTCTTTGCTTGGTGCCCAGACCAACTTGTTATTAGTACATTATCTAGTTTTTTTCCTTGCTAATGCTAGTGTATGGGCCAACTTGTGTGCACCTCAACTATGACACCGGGCACCTGCTACCTCCCACCAGCATAGGTACCATGTAATTCCTTAAGCAAGAGGACTCAAACCTCAGTCTCTAAGGTTCGCAACAACTTCATTGATCGTTAGGCTACACTTTTGGGTGCAAGTATGTTAGATACTTATTCTACTATAAGCATATGATGCTCTTAAGTTTTGAAAAGTAGAAATGCTTGAGAGCATAGTCAGCTAAACATATCTAGAGAAGAAAATTGTATTTCCTACATGCATATTATGACCTGTGTATTTAGTGTTCAAGATTTAGTTACTGTCTTTTGTTTCCCCCTGAAGAGCGAGGATGGTGGAAAGATGCGAAAGAGACGTCGAACAGAGCCACAACAAATGATAAGCAGATGAATGATGAGAAGAGCAAAGTTTCAGGCAGGCAAAATGATGTTTGGCGCCATGACAGGTACTTTGAAGTCAAGGAAGATCCTAAACCACCTGTGAAGAAAAGGTCATTTAGGGAGGAAAAGATTCCAGTGGATACTGAGAAAGCTGCAACGGAGCTTGTTAAGCCTAATCCTTCTCACCCTGAAGTAGATGGCGGAAGAAAGAATGAAAGAACTGACCACATGTCACGCCATCCTGGTAGATATGAAAGACCATTTACTGGTGAGAGGTATGCAAACAGGGGTGAAACATGGAGGGGCAAATTTCCATCAAGAGAGAGGTACCATGGCAATAGTGATCACAGGGGGAGAGACAGATTCAGTTCAAGGCAAGGACCTAATCCAAGTAAGG